CTTAGTAAGAGTGCATTTTGAAATCATGTTAGTAAAGACAGATTGTTATTAAAAAAGATTTATCCTAGCTAGCTAATAAGAGAGTTAGAACTCTTGGGGTATGTCAACCCATCATGCATGGCACCGCCCAGTCCTACAATCTTAAAAAAGCAAGATTGTCTTTCCTAGTCACATTAAGGCATCTCCTACAACTATAAATACTCCATTTCCAGTGCAACGAAGGGGATGGATGACTCAGATCGATATTCACTCAATACTCATTCAAGATCTACCCGAAAGTTAGTACACTAGATTCATATTTTTCACTCCATAAACTCCTTAACTTTCAAACTCTAAATCATGACTGTGAATGGCATACAAATAAACAGTAAAGTAGAACTCTGATACAGTATCGCCCCAAAAGGTCCTTTTTACCTTATCGAGTTTTTACATAAATACTACATCTTATGGTGCGATTACTTATTTAATAACTTTCCAAGAATAATTCATTATATGGAGTAATGTTTGCATGTAGTGGTGTATCAAGATCTACTAGATTTACATAATTACATTGGGTCTTTAACACCAAAAAGAGAAAATATAAATTTGATCCTCTTCACAGGCACATGGATCTCCCAAACCAGTACTACACATGCACCAACTCTGAACCACCAAAGAGTAATAGAAGATTTAAAAAATAATGGAACTTATAAGTAATACCCCTACCCTTCATTTTAGTAAAAAGTCATACGCATAAACTTATTAAATTCAAAACTCTATAGTCTATATCAATACCAATTAATGTGCCCCTCCCCCCTCCCCCAATTAAAAAAATAAATAAAAGTCACCCCTTATCGTCATTATCATCTCTAAGAGAGAGGCTATGATGGTAATACCCTTCACCAATGCATATGTAAGAATAATGGTATGCACTCCCAGCTGATGGACATCGACTAGAAAGTTCAGCGTAGCAGAAGGCAGAGAGAGCAGCCGCTATCCCTGCTATCAAAAAGGAAAAGGCAAGTGCTGGTCCAGAATGCTCTCTAGCGACTGTTCCAACTAGAATATATACCCCTGCTCCTATTGTTGAACCAACACCTAGTACACAAAAACCAAGCAATCAGTTGCAGATAGCAATATCACGCTCATAATACTAACTTTTGAAGTTAATAAACTTATTTTACTATTATGGATCCAAAAAACATGTGTATTTAAGCATTCAAAAGAAGAAAAGGAACAATCTTTTTTATAATCAAGACTTTTTTAATTCACATATGAGACCATATATAGAAGAAATCTCTACAAGATGAAAGAATACTACTTTACAGAGAGCTGGAGAGAGGAGCTAACAATCAAAGGGAAAAGTAATAATCGTATATAGGTAAGAACACCAACACCCTTGGGGTAAATGGAAGAAACAAATAAAATATTGCCAGACCCGGATCCGAAAGTAATGCTTGATAATTCTAATTACCTATAGCAATGAGATGAGGGACACTCAAAGCCTTAGCCAACTGAGGATCTCTGCCATTCCCAGAAGACTTCGAAGTAGAAGGAGACTTTGAATGACCGGAAGCAGCAGAATCAACCCGCTTCCTCCTCGCGATGCATCTCAATCCACCAGAAAAACCGGCACCGTCGCCACAGCCACTACTAGTTTCCTTACCCGAAATAAATCCCATCACAAATCTTCAATACAGAGCTTTCTATACTAAAAAAATCGACCTATACGCTTCCTATCTGTGCGTGTATGATTTATATATGATCGGAAAGTGGACTTTCCAAGCAAGGAAATAGTTCGTGGAGAAAGGGAAAGAAGGCGGTGAGAGGCGGAGCTGCCTTTTCCTGCGATCAGGGAAGGAAGAAGGTTCGCCGGAGGCAGAGAGCAGCTGAGAAAGATGGTACTTGCCGTCCACAGGCCGCTGCTCAAATGGCCGTCTGCCTAATAAGGGGTGGACAAAAAGATCTCCCACTTGCGTGGGGCAGAGTACAACTAAATTCTACCGTTTAGATGTAATATTACTGTGCTAAAGCTTGTCTGGCCATTGGTCTTTGGTATGGACTATGGAGTCATTGTCATTCTCCTCATCTGGCCGGCGCCAGAAAAGTCAGACGGTAACATTTGAAAGAAATTACTGCGTAATTGGATTGGTGGCGGTTTTGCTGACAAAGCATCGGTGACATGATTAGTGCACTGACCGAGGGGTGATAAGGCAAAAGTACTCCTGTTTTTTGAGTAATAAGTTTTTTGGGTTTAATCCACTAAACTCCCCTATAATTTGGAAATTCGGCGCATTAGTCCCCTGTGATTTAAAAAATGCGTCAAACCCCCCTGTGTTTTAATTAATCATGCGCCAAATCCCTTATGTGAACAAATTCAATTGTCAAATAAAAGAAAAATGATTAACATTTTTGTATGATTCAAAGATTTTGACATACTCCCTCTGTCCCAGGGAGAAGTTCCCGGGTTGACTTTCACACAAATTTAGGAAATAAAGTTACTGAGGGGTAAATTTTACTGTTTGACACTGTTTCGACACTGTTTGACACTGTTTCGACACTATTTGGCACTGTTTTGCACTGTTTGGCACTGTTTTGATGTAGGATAACTTTCCATTTAGGGAAATGGGAACTTTTTGTTGGGACTACCAAAAAAGGAAAGTGGGAACTTCTCCCTGGGACGGAGGGAGTATTTATTTGCATATTCAATCAAAATATTAGGAAAAGTGATTTTCAAAACGTTAAATTTATTCATAAAGAGGGTTCTGTGCATGATTAATTAAAACACAGGGGGGTTTGACGTATTTTTTAAATCACAGGGGACTAATGCGCCGAATTTCCAAATCACAGGAGGGTTTGGTGCATTAAACCCAAGTTTTTTGAGTAAAAAGTACTCCGTAATAATTTTGTCAATCTTTCCTTATTGGAATGTGCTAAAAAAACTTTCTGACTTTCCATTTTAATCAATATTCTTGGTTCCTGTTATTCCTTTCTTTTCTGTACAAATCTTAACCACACATTTTTACTTTATTATTCTCTGTGTCAGTCAAACTTGGCAAAGTTTTAAGGGAAGAAGGTAGTACGTAGTAAGATTGAAAAATACCTCTGTTTGGGAAATACGATTGAAAAAACTCAACCTTAAACAACTAAATAACAATTGCTATATCGTGGGATCAGCTCATCGTGAGCATGCTGCTCCCACAGGCAAAAACGCGTGTTACTGTTCACGCGGGGTGAACGGTAACTTTTTTGTTTTGTTTTTTTTCATAGTCCAGTAGCAGGGTGATGTAAGTCGCATGTAAAGAAATGTAACTCACGTTAATATGAAATGCAACTTCAGGCGAGTAAAAACGTAACATTTCTAATACGAAATATAAGAAATGAAACGTCAATTTTAGTGTAAACAATGAAAAAGTAATCTAATTGCTCAATTACTTACGTAAATGGTGAATATGTTTTGTTTTTAATATTAAAGTCATAAAAATGTATTTAAAAACATTTTTTTTGCCAAAAGGATACGTTTTTTTACCAAAAAACAAACATTTTTTTTAATTTTAATAGCAGGGCTTTATCAGCCATTTTTTGGTTTGTTTGACTATAATTAATGATCTTGACTATTTAAACTGCCAAAATTAGTGTTTGTAACTGGATGATTAACTTGGCTCATTGAAAAAGCCAACTCTAAAACGCTGAGTGATGTAACGTTTATGCATGATGTTTTCTTTTAGACGGTTTTCAGTCCCAGACCAGATCAAATCAGACCAAATCAGATCAGACCAGACTTCCGTATTTATAAAATACATAGAGACTAGACATTTACCCGATCAGACCAGCAAATTTCACTCCAAAAGAAAACATGCTTACAATCGCGTTTCATGTTTCTTCCCCTCTGCCCTCCTATTGCACGTCTCCTTCATATTTCTAGCCTTCTTCGTGCACTTCTGATTTTCCTCTTGCATTAGCAGAAAATCTCCAACTGCAACTTTTTCCGGGTTAATTTGTATCCGTTTCTGTAATTATTTTTATGCTTTGCGTTGGTTCATCTGTTCTTTTCTGCGCCGATCTTTCTGATACATTAAGTTATGATAACACTGTGAAAGAATAAAACCATAATTATTATAACAGTGTGATAACAGGGTCCTGTCCGGAAATTCCGGAGAGGAAGAGCTCTCTCTCTATATATAAGAGAGAAAAAATCATGTGAGAAGTGCCCCTTAAAATGTGAAGTGAGAACTAATCTTAGCCCTTAGATTTGCATCTGATCTTACAACGCAGTAGGAACTTATAACCAATAAATCATAACTTGTAAAACTTTCCATAATAATTACGAAAATGTCACCGCGGCAAAAAAAATTCAGGTTTCTGTAATATTTTTTTGCGGTGGCATTTTCGTTATTACTTTCAGGGGTATATAATTTATGATTTATTGGTTAAAAATTCCTAGATTTAGTCTATGAGTTTAACTTCGCAGTTTTCAACCTAAGAGCACTTCTCACTTTATTCGCTCCCTAAACTACAAATTAAGAATATACAGAGTAAAAATTAAGCCACTTTTGGGATGCTCAGGTGCCGATTTGAACACCCTATTTGAAGTACTCATGAGAAGTACCGGTTAAAGTGTGTTATGAATGTCTGATGTGTAGTTTAAAAAAGTTAATATATGTACCTATATTAGGAGCCCGTTTGGCAAAATTTATTAAATTTATTAAGTTAACGGAATTGACTGATTCTGCTAAAATTTATTAAATTCAGGCTCAAGTAGTTATATTGGCTGATTCTGTTGATTCATGAAAAAACATTTAAAATATTTTTTATTACTCCCTCCGCCCCTGTTGAGGTTTATTCCTTCAACCCTCGGGTCCAACACGTAAGCCCAAGAGTTTCGAGTGGATTGTGTGTGTGAACAAACTAGCCCGACTAACAAGTGAGATGGATTAGGAAACAGTAAGTAGCGAGTACGAGACTAGGTATTATTAATCTGTTAATAACTCCCTAATACAATACTTTTGCTAAGGCTCGTCGGCCGTTCGTCTTACAAGGCAGTAGGAGAGCTGCGAGTAAGAATGCTATAAGCTAGAGTGCTAAGAATAGAAAGTTGCTCACCCTTTACAATGAAATAAATGCTGCTATTTATACTACCAATGGGCAGTTGGCTATGCTGACGTGGAGGATTGTGAATGGCTGGTGCCCCAACCACCAAATCTTCAGCATTAAATGCGCTTCCCGCCAGGATCTGGGTTTCCCGCCTAATTAGTGGGGACGTTCGTCCAGCTGGGGGAGGTGAGTTACTCCTGGTGATATTGCAAAGGGTATTGGGGTATTGGGCCGTTCGTACCCTGGCCCTTGGGGGATTTGTCATATGGATCAGATTGCCTTCCGTGGTTATGGGCTTGATCCGGCGACGTTCGTCGTCATCCTTGTGGCCTGTGGGCCTGATTCATTGTCAACTGCGTGGATGTCCGTCGGAATGGGCTGGTAAGCCAAGGTTTTGGTTACGACGTTCGTCTTTGCCAATACCCTGTTAACTTAGCCCACCCAGACTCCTATCCGGACGTTCGTCCGAGTGAGGGGGAAAATGGGCCGGCCCCTGTTTGGGCCATTAACCCAACACACCCTATGTTTGTCCCGTTTTACCTTTTTCGTCTGTCCCATTAAGTTTGTCACATACTATATTAGATAATGTTTGAGTGGTTAGAATTCATTATTACTTTATTCACACTTTATCAATTCAATACCAACCACACAATTCTACATTTTCTTAAAAACCACATCACACCCCTTTGTCCCAAACTTAGGGAGACGGAGGTAGTAATAAATAGAATAAAAACTTATATGAAAAAAAAGGTAAAATGATCATCTACAGTAACTTCAGTCAATATAGTCAGAAAAGTAACTCCAACCTTACTTTTATGCTTATTACATAATTCAACGCGTGAAATCAAAAGTTACGTGTTTGGTGAAAAAGCTAGCTGATAAGCCTGATAAGCCAAAAAAAAAGGGATTACCAAACGCGCTCTGGATCTTCTTACCATTTTCACCGATCTCGAGTAAATCTCTTATTTCTCTTACTTCTTCGGTGTTTCTCTTATTTCTTCTTCGTTATTAGGATGTTTTTACTTGGACTCTAATTTGTTGGTTTGCTCTGATCTTATCTGAACTGATCTAGTCCGGTCTGGTTTCTTTGTATTTTTATAACTATCCAAGTCTGGTCTGGTCTGGTCTGATCTGGGACAGATTACAATCCAAGTAAAAACATCCTTACTTCCGTCCCACTAACATTAAGGCGTGATGAGATGGTGCATTTTTTTTAAGAAAAGTGAGTTTATACAATTGACATTGAATTAATAAAGAAGAATATATACAGAATATTACCCAAAATAGGAGTAAAATAGTTTGAAAATTCTAAAATAGGACTGTCATGTTTTTATTCCCAAAAAAGACTAATTACTGCCATGTTTTGACAGTACCAGACTTCAAACATAGCAATATTTTTCAAACTTGACAGTAATTACTTCTATTTTGGGAATAAAAACATGATAGTCTTATTTTGGAATTTTCAAACCTTTTTAGTCCTATTTCAGGAACTTTCTCAAATGAATAAGAACAATTTATAACCGTACAATGTTTACCAAATTTGGTATGAAACAATCTTAGTTGGACGGATGAAACAATCTTAGTTGGACGGATGAAGTATTTCATAGGGAACTCGGGATTAGTACCAACGAGGTTTTAATTGGTTAGGTCATTTGCTGTTATCATAAAATTAGTAGGGAGTATAAATTAATCCTTTCTGGTATGCATGTTTCGTGAATAAAAAGAGTGACAATCACATTATAAACATAATCACGGGTCCCTTGAAAAAAAATCACGGAGATCTAGGATTCAAAGTCTAAATCAAGGTGGACGATTTTTTTCTTTGGTGTAGGAGTCTGCTTATTTTTATTCAAAAATCATGAACACATACTCACATAATCACATTTTACTATACTACACTCTAAGCTTTTTTTATAATAATAAATAAATCACTCTATTAATCAAGTAAATCACTCACCAACTGACTTACAATGCATTGAGGAACAAAAAGATAACCAACACAAGCCTCGAAACTAGAACTAGCTAATATACGAGCAGCCTTGTTCGCAAAACGCTTAAAAATGACATAATAAACGGCATAGTTAGAATTTTAGATAATAAATATATTATGTCTACCAATAATAGCTCCAATACAAGTATTCAGGTCCGGCCAGGCCGGACCACTCCCCCCGTCCGGCCTCCTCCATTTGGGGGCCTTCCCGGTGGTATTTTTTGCTCAAATTTTTTGTGTAGTTTCCTCATCAAGTCTAGTTCATCCATACCAAATCCGGAATATGTGTATTCCGGACCAGTTAATTTGCAAAAATCATTTGACAAATCCGGTATGGATGAACTAGACTTGATGAGGAAACTACACAAAAAATTTGAGCAAAAAATACCACCGGGAAGGCCCCCAAATGGAGGAGGCTGGACGGGGCTCCGGTCAGGAAATTCCTGACCGGAACAGCACTCATAACTCCAAATAGGAGGATATTTGAAGTTAACATGGAGGATATTTGAAAAGCAACTAAACATAAGTCTCACACAAAGAAATTGCCATAAGTGTCGCACAAAGACATTGTTCACTAAGGTGTAAAGATTGTTAATCTAATGTGAACTTCAGATACTAGTTTTTTTTATGGTCAAAAACCTGCTATCATTAACTCAATAAATCGTTAGCCAGATGGCTAGAAATACAACTCGGAAACTGTAAATATCAACAAATTGATCTGAGATGTGGACATGTGACTTCAGGTACTAGTTTAAAACATTATGCAATAAAAAAAACATTATTCGATGTATAATATTTTACCCGATTTTACCCTTTTAGGCTAGGTGGTCAAAATCTGCCATCATTCATATGATACAAATATAAAATAAATCAGAATAAAAAATTTACAATGCTGGATTGCTACTCCTGTTTTACATAAGACTTCGAAACAAGTAGAAAGAAATTATTACGTCTCATGGTAACTTAATTACCACTGTCCACGTATAATAAAAGGAAAAGTTCTCTTTGTCAACTTATGTGTTTTGTATTGGTACAATTATTAATAAATAAAGTAGTTAAAAATATTCTCACTAAGGTATGAGTATAATAGTGAAATTACATGGACAATCCAAAATAAGATAGGTGAAATGGAACGAAACGGAGGGAATATTTAAAAAGTATTTTATCAATGAAATAAAGAAAAAGCTATATGAAAAATAGTTAAAAAAGAATGACTTCAACCAATTCAACCAGAAAAGTAACTTCAACTTTATTTATTTTGATTATTACACAATTCGATATCAAAAGTTATTGACTTGGTAATAAGGTTGAAAAGATGAAAATAGTAGTTTTCAAATGGGTTTCTAATCAGTGTGAGTTCTTCCAAATTAGACACAACAAGATGCCAACTTTGTACACACCTATCATACTCTAACGAAATGTCTATTATACATATACAAAACCCATGCGACTAAGATCCAAAGTCGTCCACTTCAAAAGTAGGTCCAAATCCCAATCTCCTCCTCCTATGATGAACAACACAGAAAAATGCATCTCTTAAACACCGTCATCTACGAAGCTTACAGAGTGTATTGTACGGAGTATTTTTTTTACCATGATAACTCAAACGGGTATTATCATTTATCAGGAGATGTTATGTGAATTTGAAGACAGCTATGAGTTCGGCCATAGAGAGCGTAAATCAAAACTCCAGCTGTCAACCATAGTAGAACAAACATCCAAGTTGCGGCCCTGAGTTTTAAGGTGTATTTGTTTTTCACACCGTATCAAAATGAGTCATTTAAGGAAACATCATCCATGATATCAAGTTGACTGAGAAGAGAGTAGAGATCGCTATTACCCGATGTTCAACAGCAAATATGTGTTCACAAGTATGCTGGTAATAGGTAGAAATGGAACAAATGGGCAGAGAAAACCTGTTACAAACCATGACCATGATGAATGGATAATAAATCATTCGTGTACTCGTATGATAGCCTAGTTGGAGTTGGAGTGTAGCATATAATCAAGCTACCAATATATATATATATATATATATATATAGCACGGAAACTCTCAGAAGAGTACGTTTCCGTTTCGGAAACTCTACATAAAATCTTTAGAAACACTAAAAGATTAGAATGCACTTTTGGTAAATTCATCACGGACGAAGATGTAATTGAAGCAGCATCCTATTTCTAAGTATGCACATTTTGCAAACTAGATCATCTATACTTGTCATAAAAAAGAGTTATAGTTCCATAAAAGAAAGTATAATCTTCCCTACACCTCTTCACAGATAGGCTACCAAAGGAAACATTGATTGAAAAGATGTTATACACCATTTTACTGATGCCACGTCATGGACACGTCAACTTGCACGTGGAAGTCTCATGCATGCATGGTTATAACGGATTAGTTACTGTAGCTGTTATTCAACTAATCTGTTAAGGTCGTTGTATAACCTTTGAATATAAACGATGCATGTAATAGCTGAGGAAACTACGAATTCATTTCTCAATTGGTCTTCTTCCCTATTATGCCTACTCTTGCATTCTCGGTCGAATTCTTTTCTTACTTTAAGAATTCCTACAATTTTCCTTGTTCTTCATTCTATAGAACCTAGAGCATTACAAAAGACTAGGTGACAAAGATGAGCAGGCAAATATGTACTTTGTACATCTTGCTAAATTCAACTTACCTCCTGATTTCTTGAAACTCGCCCTCTTAGAAGCTTGATCCAAACAGCCAAGGACAGTCGAGCAGCATAACACGATAACACCACCAACTCCAAAAACTGCAAAGCGAGGAATGCTGTGACAATTCACAAAAAGTAAGATTTATTATGAATGATAAAGATCCCTGATTCATCACAAAATGTCTGGAACAAGTGAAATTCTGAAAAGCAAGAACAAATAAGACACCTTTTCCAAACAAAAACAAATAATACGTGAAATGTGTGCAAGATTTTGATGTTCCAATTTCCAAGGTAGAAGAGAAAGGAGATTATACAAATAAATAACGACCAAAGTCATAATATTTCTTAAGATTAAAACAAAGATCACAAAATTGATCAAAAACACGCTCCGATCAACCTGGAAAGACCCTGAGTAGAAGCAGCAGATACCAGCATAAGGATCCCTACACATACTAGAGTAATGGCCCAAGAAGCAATTTTTTGTCTCCTGAATTCATCATAAGTATCTGCACGAATTCATGACATTTCTAACTAAGTGCAGACTTTACTTCATCAAGTATCCACCAAAAGAAGACACAGAAAAGCAAACAGATTATTGAGACCTTTATAGCAGGCTGAAACTAAATACATAAAGCACAGAATCTCACATACAAACAGTCACACACACAGGCAACGAGTGAAAGGAGTTGGAAATGTGCTGATCAGACAGAAAAAATATAAGGATATAGGCTCCCTTAGTGACGATTTCCTTAAGTTCACCATGTGCATAGAATGATAGTGGTGTATACACACATGTAGAGAGAGAATCTGTGTATAAACTAAAGCAGACATCTACTCCTAGAAGTATAGATGTTGACTAAGTGAACACTCCTGCTAATATTTTTTTAATGATATATTTTCTGTAGACTCACTATTTTTTGGCTTGAGAATATGATGGAATAAAGCAAAATGACTCACTAAACTGTCTGCACTTCTTTGTTATGAAGCATCAGTCAGTCCATGCAATTTTTGACGCGATTTTCACTATGGGTCATCCGGAAACAGTCTTCCTGTACTACAGTACAGGGGTAAGGCTGCGTACATCCGACCCCCCTTACCCCACCATAGGTGAGAGCCTTTGCGTCACTGGGGTAATGATGAAGAAGAAGATAATTTTTCTGTAGAGAAGTTACAAATTTTGAAATTTCTTGATTTTTTGAATTATGAAAAAGGCACCCAAAGATGGGGCAGTGTGAGCAGTGTACTAAAAAACTGTGGGTTGTGAAGATAAGCAATTAAAAGTTTAATACACATAAAATAGCTATATATCAACAATACAAATCAAGTAGATATGTCAGATCGTGTATAAACTAATCCAATTAAAATAAAGTAGGTAATGTGATCCTCACGCACAATATGCTCGCACACGCAACAGAGGACCATAGAAGCAACCAGTTGATTGAACAGAACTAACTACCTTGAGCTACTTCTTTTTGAAGAAGAGGGCATTCAGCCACACAATGAGGATGTTCACTGTTAGTGTAAGTACTGAGCTTAGAATTAATGCTTTCATCACCTATTCCAAGTGTGTTTCTATGTCGTAACAGGGACGATTCAGCAGTTACGGATTGCTGGAGCAGTGATGGGTAAGACAACTCATCTGGTGGTGGAACATATCTGACTACCAGTACGGAAATAGCAACAGTAGTAAATGCAAGAAGCGTTCCGACACTAACCTGCATAAAGAGTAACAATTTCCATTTATTCTTACAAGATTTGAACCTTCTTTTTCATGAAGCCTTGATAATTGAGGTTTTCAGCTCTGTCGCTCACTTACCATCCCTGCCAATTGTGAAACGTCCATAAAGAAGGCTAGGACTGCAATGAAAACTCCAGTTGCCAAGGTACTCTTAAGAGGAACTTGAGTGTGCCTACTAATGTCTGAAAAGAAGGAAGGCAGTAATCCATCCCTACCCATTGCCATCAGAATTCGAGGCTACTTAGCAATCATAACAAGAACAAAACAAATCCAGATATTCAGGGGTGGGAACTCCATAAGGCCAAGCCGACGATGATGATGAAATAAGCACATTAGAAATGAAGAGTATATTTAATAAACAAATTGCTAGAGCTTCCAAATAAAGAGTAGAGGTGGGCATTTGATCCCGGAATTCTGAAACTGCTTCACTACCACCTCCTCATTGTGTATCATAAACTGCCCTGGTTCGTATTTTTTGCTACAATACCCCTCTCTTTTGTAAATCAGCAACTACCCTGGTTCGTATTTTTTGCTACAATACCCCTCTCTTTTGTAAATCAGCAACTACCCTGGTTCCAATTCCTGCTTCACTATCACCTCCCCCTGCGTATCAGTGACACCCTTTTCCCATTTCTGCTTCACCAATAGCTCACAACACCCGCGCTTCACCTTGCGCATCAGCAACTTCTGTGATTCCCCTTTCTGCTTCACTACCCCCCTCCCCTTGTGTATCAGCAACTTCCCTGATTCCCCTTTCTGCTTCACT